TGCCTCTACAAGCATCTTAATTACTACCTTTAACTAAGCGCCTTCTGTGATAAGACACAAAGGTACAGACCATTTTGATACAAAGTGCTTCAATAAATACATATATTAATGGTGCACAATGTACAGTAACTTTTCTGGTGGAGTGTCTATCATCTTGTCTATTGTTATAGTTTTTTCCTGGAGTTTTCCACAGTATGGCATTTAATATATCTACTGCCACGAGGACAAACGGGTAATGGCATCAGGTCAAGTTACAGGTCAGATCTGTGGAAAGGATACCCTGCTCACAGTAAGAATGCATGTTTTTCAAGGTTGATTTTAACAATGGAAATATCTGTAATTTAATAAATGCAAGAAGGATAGATTTAATGCCAAACTCTGGAACATTCACAGCAAAGCATTAACATCTCCATGGAGCCAAGTAGATAGTGAACCTCTATTAGAAAGGTTCCATAATGCACCTTTAACAAAAGTAATTAATTTTGGTAGATTCTATGCAGTTTCGAGATGAAATATCAGACGTAATAGAAAGAGAAATTCACCCTGGAAATGTTCAAATTTGGGTCATGGTGCTATACAGCCACGGCCTTTGAAGAGATCTAATAGTGATTTTTTTGTGTATGCTGGATACAGTTACAGTATCTCAGACAAGACCTAATGGAGCTCTAAACCATACGTATCTTACCTATAATATCTATGTTTTTCTGAAGGCATTTATGTACTCTTGGGTTTCTTTACTTCGTTAGTTACTCATTTTGAACATAGCTGTAAAATCATCTGTCTCTGTTTACATGTACCTTCCCTTCCCTCTGCACTTCTCACCCCATCACCATCCTTTCTCCATCCTCTTATTGCTTCTTGTGCTCCTTGTATGGAATGAGCAGCTGTGAAAGAGCCCAAACAGTGGGATCCCCTCTCCTCCTCAGTGCTGAATAATGCAATCAGAGTGAGTGATTGTCAGGAGGGCGCAGAGTTAAGAACAAGCATTATTTGTGTGTGCATCTCATATACGCGCGCACACACGCACACGCGCACACACGCACACACACACACACACCTGGCTCAGTGTATGACTCATCTAATGTCCACCATTTCTACAGCATTGGCAGTCTTAGCTGGAGCTGTTGCTACACCTTGTCCACGTGTAAATGAATCCAATCTGAGCATGGACATGAGCTCTTTGATTTTTTTTAAAGAGGATATATTACATAAAATAGACCTTTTAGAGATGTTATAATGGTGTTCCTTCATAATTAGCTTTACTCAAAGTTCTCTGATTGATTTTTGCATATTTGAATTATCCTTTTTTCTGCATTTGAGGCTTGAGTGCTCAGAAAATTTCAGTTTTCACCTTCTCCCCATCTCCACCCACTGTTATGCACTTTGCAAATACTCAAAAAAATCAGACTGCAGGTCAAACATGAAAGGTTAAAAAATGTCACTTTTTTCAGCAATGAAATCATGTAAACAAAAGCCTGAGGTTTGCTACAGTGAAATGCCACTATGACCAGGGGCCTTTGAGTTCTGCAGTGTGGAACAGAAAGTCAATAGACAGGTTTCTCTTATTAAGCTGTTTTAGATCAATATTGTGGTTTACAATGAATAAAGTGTAAATGAATGATCTACGTATAGTGTGTTAAAAATTTGTTTCTATATATCTGAACAAACACAATATGTCCTCTTTAAGATCTTTTCTAGTTTAGTTTTGTTAGAGAAAGCTTTCCTACTCTGTACTCCTTATTTGTAGATGTGGTAGTTCTTGTTAAAGGTACAAAGCATAATGTGGAGGGTCTTCTACTTATTTGTCTCCATAGAAATGATATTGCTTTGCCTAAGCAGCAGGCAGACCCTCCACTAGAAATGTTACACAGTGCACCTTTAAACATTTTAAATTCACTACATTATAAATCTCATACTGAAAAGAAACTGCACAGAATATGTTGATAGTTGCCAAGTCTGTGTCTCTGTCCCTCGGTTTGCAGTCTATACACATGGATCCAGGCCCCATCCTGCTCTCTTCAGACAGCACTTATGTCACTGAACAAAATGTAATGAGAGCTTTGCCATGCCAGTGCCACTGAGAGCACTTGAGTGAAGAGCATGTGGGAGAATGGAGGACCACACCAAAACATGAAGTCGCAATCAAAAGAGTCAGACCGCATTGATATGTTTCCACTTTTTTACCGACATAATGCACTGACACAAACAAAATTCCGTGGGATGGGAGATTCAATTAAAATACCAAAAGAAGTGTTTTATCTACTGCCAGAAAGGTAATAGTCGGAATGCAATGCTATTTATAATACTCGTACTTATATCTAGTACAGTTAACAAGATGAAAAGATCAAAGTCTACATGGTATGTCTATCTATACAGTAGTGACTTGAGTAATCAAGAAGGAGAAAAGGATCACAACCTTAGCCTAATTCACACTTACGGTAAGCTCCTGTCTAGACTGACTGTAATTTGGCTCCTCCATAAGAAATAACAATAATATGTAATAGTTCTAACATAGCAGAGGGTTGCAAAACTGAAATTTGGCACTTAGATTACATATCCAATCCAATCCACTTTATTTAAATAGCAAAATTCACAAACAAACAGTTTCCAAAGTGCTGCACAAACACATACTAATAACAGCAATAATAATATAATAATAAAATAGGCTGATAAGCTCACAAGAGAAAAAAACTCGCATATATGATGAAGATGCCTTATTTATGATATGTTTAGATGGAATATATAATTATATTTTGAACCATCCAAAGAATAATAATTAGTCAGCAAATATAACTTATAAAAGGCATGGCTGGTTTCAATATATAATTCAACCTAATTTTCTATCACATTTGGCTTAGTAGAAAACATCTGTTTACAGTAAATAAAAAATCAGGTCAGACTGTAAACTGAAACCGTGATGTAAACACCTCTATTACTGAACAACAGTCATTAAACAGTCATTAAATGTTCCAGCTCTTTTTTGTTTGAGGTCTGCCCAATCAGACCTCTCCCTGCTCACCTTTGCACTACTCTTTGTGTCTGCCTGGCCCCTCATCCATCTACTGTTGTGGTGATGGCCTTCAAACACTTTTTAATTGGACACAGGTCAAACCTATTGCTGGACATTGCTGAATAGACCTGGTGTTATCAGTGTCTAGGCAGATGGGGCTTGCAGCTGCTCAGGATATTCTTCAATATGAAAAAAAAAAAATCATCAGCTTGGAGGCAGGAAGAAGCCTATGTGGTAGATGGCGAGGGGAGGGAGATAGTATTGATAAGGCTGCAGAAGAGGAAGTCCTCGTTTTTCCTGTGGCCGCTGAGCAATAGACTATAAACTTATCAGCTGGAAAGAGAAATAAGGAAACAGCTCTGGTCGCTCATCCCCGACACAGGAGATGAGTTTAAGATAGAGAATCTCCTCCATCGTGGGGACCCTGCATACCACGCGACTGTGATTGCAGGTTAGGTGGAAATATACACAAAAGGTTAGAGGTGGACTGCCCAATGTTACTGCTAAATACATTTACATGAATTTTGTCACATTCCCAAACCCTAACACTCAATTTGTTCAATAAGAATGAAAGGGTCTAATAAAGTACCACAGCATCTTTGACTTATCCGCGTTAATCTTTATACAACAGCCATTTAGAACGTGCTTGTGAATTTAAAAACCTAATGAAACCCATTACATCATATTAAGTCCTCTTATTTTACTGACAAGTCTAGTTTCCATCTTAAAATAATCACTTTAATAGCTTGGTCACAGTGCTTTTAACAGAACAAGCAAGTTCCTTTCTGTATATTAGACTATGGGACAATAATTATCAGCCGTCCCTCCATCCATCATGCTATCAGCAATCTAATAAGGCGGCTACACAAGGAGACTGAAGGCTGCTAATAGCCCAGTGTGCTGTGTGACTATTTATAAAGAAAACCTGTTATGCTAAAGAATCCCTGTTTTCTGTGCATGCTCCCTGCTCCCAGTGGGCACAGTGTTTTGGTGATTTGAGCCCCCTGCAAGTAAACAAGAGCCTTGTCAATCAACACATACAGAATGACTGACGCGCTGGAGGTGGTGTCGGTCTGCTAAGGTGTTGAAGTGATGGGGGGAAGGGAGCTGATCACTTTAAATAACCAACAAAACCTGCGGAGACAAGATGCCATGAGGGCAGACCAAGGAACCCACCAAAATAAAAGGAGAGAGGAGATTATTTGGGCTTGTGTTAAGCCATGCTATTTAGCTTTCTTTCACATCAGACAGCACTCCTCACTGTTGCCACGCAGAGGGAGGCAAGAAGAAAAACAGTCCTGGAATTTGAGGGTCATTTGAAGAACACATGGACCAAAGCAAAGCAGGAGACACAAGCTCCATTTTCAGTTCACGCCAGGGAACAAGCAAGCTCTCACCCACCCTCTCTCTCCCTCTCTTTCTCCCTGCTGTTCCCTCTCTCCCCCTTTCTCCTACACAACAGCTAAATCAATAGAAATGACAATGCACTTGGAAGGTCATTCGCGAGTACAGCTTGCTCTGTGGTGGAATGCTTTACGAATGTGTGGCACAAAGGTAAACCACAAGAAAAACAACTGTGCATATGGCCAGTTTTCTTCTTTTCATCTGTCTCCTGCCATGGTCCTGTTTGGGCTGTCATCTCTTTCCATATATCCACATGCAAAATGGATCTCAATATCTCTGGACAGCCTCCTTAGCTGCTTGCAATCAGTATGCATGCAGAGTACTGCTTTTGTAAACAACCACCGACAGATACACGTGTAGAAGAAATCCACAAAATTCCCCTTCACTAATGAGCGCAACGCATGGACTCACACGGTTCCCCTCTCAACACGTAAACACAGGAGCTACATATGGCTAGTGATGAGAGCTACCAAGCAGACACCAGCAGCAGCAGTAGCAGTAATAGCAGCAGTGAAGCAGAAACACATTGCAAAGCATATGATGAGACTATACACAGAGAGTTAATGGAGGAAAGTGTTGTACTCACAGAATACTCAACGGTGCCTTTGGGTCTCTGGAACGACATGCGCCTCCCATCTTTCTTCTCAGGGGTCTTCTTCTGGCCGGTATCTGAAAGCAAGCGAGGCAAGGTACGCATCACATTCATGTTCCTGTGTCCCCCACGCAGCCCGCCGTCACAAGCTGCCGTGTCCGAGCAGCCCCGTGGGTAGACAGTTCATTCGTCAGCAGTGAGTGAGCCAGCCAGGCAGCCAGCAATCGTCAGCTCCCGGAGACACTTTGCACTGGACGTCTTTCTCTCCTCTGTCTCCCGATAGCGCGCACACTGCCTCACATACTGAACCTTTCACTATCTCTCCTACTCTCCCTCTCTCTCTTTCTCTCCGCTCACGTTTGCTTATCCGAGTGAGCCGCTGCGCAGTGCAATGACACAGGCTTAAAGTAGTTCACCTTGCCTGAGACACAGAGCTGACCTCCATCACTGTTCTGAAGATGGATACAGTTGGGAAGCTGTTGACGGGAATGGAGAGGAGAGAGAGGAGAGAAGAGAGAGAGGAGAGAGAGAGAGGGGAGCGAGAGAAAAGAGAGAGTGGAGAGGGCAGAGCTGGGAGGGGGGAGTGCAATGTGCTGGATGGGTGATTGGGAATGTTGCTGAAGAAGTGGTTCAAGTGAAAATACAGTTATTTAAGGAGATAGTAGTATTTTTGTTCATTAGTTTTCAAGGGATATACAATATATAATATATAATAACAACTGAGCTATCAAATTGCAAAGTCTTCAGTTTAGATAATAGAAAATCCTCTGTAAAAGAACAAAATATGTTTTTTTTTTAGAGAAAAATATTGTTAAATCGGTAGTTTAGACCTCTACAAACATGTTGTGAAATGCATGGGATTCCTGTTTTCTCTGAAATGCTAATGCCCCTGTTGTTTACAATGTTCAATGTGAAACAGAAATCATATATTTAATTGTATTCATAAAACTTGGCAGTAAAATTGCGATTCAATTTGCAGTTCTAGTTTGAAGACTTTTGTTTTTATGTCAGTTGTACTCTGTTTGGGAACATGTAGTCAGAGAGATGACAATTAAACATTCAAGGATATATTTTTGTTTTGATAACTGTGAGAAAAACATTTGAGAGCTTCTTTTCCTTTTGAGTTTTGGCTCACTAAATATAGAGGGATTTGCATATTGATTAGCAATAAGTGAGTAACAATAGAGGTGGTATAAGCTCTGTCAGTAACACTGCAGAGTCTTAGAGTTTGTGTAGCATTTAGACATGACATACTATAGATTTTACAACAGATGCCCTCCCTGACACAACCTTTTCTATGTGAGTGTGGAATGAACACCCTTGATTTTGCTAACTCTGGCTGGGTAAACAAAATAATGAAAAAAAATAAATAAATAAATAAAAAAACTAAACTAAATGACTAAAGGGAAAGCATGTAGGGGTCTTGTAAAGCAGTCAATGACTTGGAAGAAAAGGGAGGAGAAGATGGGGGGCTGGGACATGGGGATGAGCGAGTGGAGTGAATACTACAGTGATGAGATAAAAGACAAGCCCGAGATGGTGAGATGAAAGAAAACGCCAGAAAGCTCATGGGAGATGGCGATAACATAGTGAGGCATTAGACCTTTAACTAAGAAGATGGAAGACCTAGTTTTGGAAGAGACCTGTCACGATAATTACTATATCTAGTTATCGTTCAATACATGAAAGCTGGAAATATATTTTGGGGGGGGGTTAATATTTATTGTGTGTACCAGTTCTTTGCACTACCGGGAGATTTTTGGTTATTTTTATCTCTATATAATGAGATTTCAGCCGCAAAAGGTTGAATTAATAATTTCTATGACTCATTACAGATTCAAACTAAGTACTCAAGTGTTTCATTCTGCTGTTTATTTATTGCAGCTCACGGTTTTTTAACAATATTGCAGATTTACAATAGTTTTGTGGCTTAAATCTGCTCTTAGGTTTTTGTGTAAGTTATATAAATTAGTTTCAATATTATCATTTATCATCTAAATTTACTTCAACATATCACACTTCAAAATGTGGTAACGTGATAGACCTATTTTAGATAATTCTCATACATTTTCAAGAGAGTTTGCAGTCTTCCTTTTTATCTATTGGGCTCTATATTTAACAACAGATGCACTTCCAGACAGGGGCTTGTTTTGGGTCTCTTTTGTGCTAACTTGGAAACCTCAACACCTCGGCTAAACACTGCTGTATGGTAGGTGTTGCACATGAGTAATGAGCCCTGTTATTTGTGCCTTTCTGATCAGGCTCCAATGGTGAGTCATACACCGCTAACGCTATTTGTGGAGCTCTGGACTGCTGGCGCACTGTGAGAGGGAGGGGAACGCTATGGGAACTGCTTCAGGTGTAAATATTGGCTCAGTAAATATAATACTCACTCAGAAGTATGGGTTTAGGGCTGATATGAATTATATAAGGTTTAAACATCACATTTATAGTTCCTCTTACATTACACAATTGCTAAATTACTGCATTTTCTGGTTTCTTCTTTAAACATTTAAAGCACAGGCCCCCAGAGTACAGGCAGTTACTACTTTAGGCAAGATCTGGTGCAAATCTCTCTATTTATCCAGGCTTGCAACAGGCACAATAACTGGATAACTGGGATAACTGCTAAGAGCCCTATGTGGCTGTAATGTAAATATGTGCACAAATGATTTAGTATTTTGTAGCATTTCCCACTGCAGTCATGTTTTACATTTGCTTCCTTAAAGGTGCATTATGTAATTTTTCTGGTATGGGCACGCACTACCTGCTGGTCTCCACCGAGATCTTACTGCCATGCCAAGAAAGTTCCACAGTATGGCATTTGAGTTATATATTTAGTATTTATTCAGTTTAGTGTGTTTTCTGATCCTGCATCAAAAAGTTACACAGTGCACCTTTAAATCATCATGAATAAAATATAAAAAAATACCAAATGACCATGTTGCAATGATATGACACAATACGGGCTTTTTTATTCTTCTTGTGGTGATATGTGGAAATACACAGCACAATACATTTTTACTTACGAATACTTTTACTACTCTTTCACAATGACCCCAAGAATACGTTCAAATAATCCAAGATAAGGCCCATATGTAAAAGTAGACAGTTGAATTTATCATGTATCTGAACAATGTTTAGTGGTATTTTTGAGCATAAATACATCTCCAGAACACTTCATTTCACTTGTCAACATTTCACAGCGGGGCTACTTCACAAATAACCTGTAGAGTGAACACAAATTCCAGATAAGGGCTACATTGAGCAAAAGCATTGTTGCATAAACTGTTCGTGTGCCAAATCAATTATTCAGCATCTAAATGAAAACGTTGGAAAGATGATTGCTTTCAGTGGGAGAATTCAAACAGGAGCTGGGGAATGTGCCCGATGTGTTTCAGCTATCTACGGGCAGCCATACGTCATAAGTGTGAATCCATGTTATGAAAAGTAATCCACTATGCCTTTGTTTTTAATTGCATTTTTCCCCAGCAGAGGGCAAGTAAACTGGCCTCAGTAATAAAAAGTGGAGGTGTTGATTGGATTTGCAAATAGAATATACTGTACTGTGCCAGGGACATTATTTAGGTTGTGGTCATATAATAGAATTGTGCGTTCTGCCAAGTCACTGGCCTTAAGCTTCATTTTTAAATAAAATACTCAAATATCCTTTAATTTTTTGGAGTAAATAAGAATGCATTATATTGTACTCTTTATAATTAGACTGTTCTACTAAATAACATAAAGAGGGCAGAAGACAGAGTAAGAGAAATGCATTAGCAGCTGCAGGGAGCTACAGCATGGGGAGGCAGTGATGGGGCTAAAATTAAACCTCACAGTGGATACTAGCCATTGTATTCACAGTCCAGACACACAGCGGCACAGGCCATCTTCACACAAAGGATATGGTTTCATCTCCCGCTGCTGGAGGCTGAGAACATCTGTTGACTTCAATGTAAGGCAGCCCTTTCAATAGCCATGGGTTTCAGAATGATCAAAAATTAGGGCCATTGCCATAGTAATTAACAATTTACTGAATACACCAATCAGTCATAGGCAGTGTATATTCTGGCACCGTTCACTAGCAATTTCACCTGTTCACCATTGTTCCCTCATTGGACCTCCTCTGATACAAAATGACCATAAAAGTCAATCACTGCTGAACTTATGGATATTTTCTGACCCATTTGTGTGGCACTCACAATTTGAGGACAAAATGTTCACTTGTCACCTAATATCCCACCCACTAAGTGCCAAGATGAAGAGATAATCTGTATTATTACTTCACCTGTGGCACACTCTCAAAGAAACAGCTCTTTTTTCACATGGCCCTGGAACAAAACCATAATTTAAAAAAAAAAAAACTAAATCATAATAATTGTTGTATATGATAATTGAGCAAGTATGAACTACATAGACTTATAAAGTTACATAAAATGCTTTTAAACTATAGGAAAATAACTGAGAAATAAATGAGAAAATAATGCAGCTATTGTAATTTCAACTGTAGCCTTTTGGGCTCATTGTGAACTTGAAATACAATAACAGAGTGTAACAACTGTCACTGAAAGAAGCTGCTGTCCGTGAAGCAAACAAAGCTCAGCTCTGACCAATCTCAGACATCCAGAGTCACAAGAAGTCATGGCTCTCTGACTGACTTAAAGAAAAATGTGTGACGGTCAGGGCGCCAGGGTTTAGACAGCAGGATATACAAAAAGACACCTCAACAATACATCAACAGCTTGAACCGTCTACGCTTGAACTAATGATGTGTCCAACAAGGCAGGCAAGCCATACAAGAGTGGCAGCTTTGTAATATGAATGCCGCAAAGTTTTAAGATAAAGAAAAGCTTTGCAAAGATTTATTCATTGCGTAACTGGTCTCGCAAATAACCTACCAAAGGCATCTCAACTTGCTTCTTTTAAAACTGAATAGCAATGATAAGCTTCCTCTGCATGGGACCCAGAACAGGTAAATACAAGTAAAACTGAAATAGATACATGACGGATTTTTATAATCTATACAAATGTTTTTATCTTTTTCAAATAACCAAAAAAGCAATGCCGCATTTCCAAA